CGGTGCTGATTCCGTTCGACTACCTCCTCATGATCACCGGAGGCATCTTCATCAACCTCAGGTCAGTGAGAAACAGAATGCACCTGCAGTTTATCGCAAGCACAGAAGCAATTTGGCTTCAAGCGTGAGTTTTCATAAACATGTCACTTGATATCAACGCAGGAAAGCAATTTTTACAACACCAATGCTTTCAGAATGAACGGTAACGAGAGATTGCGCTAAGAACACAACAAGACGTTAGTTGATGACGAAGAAGTAGGCCTTTCTGCCCGTTAACGTTAAGCGCTCTTTTTAAATTGGGCAAACATATTTATCGAGCACTGTGAATAACCTCATCCTTCTGCAGGGCCACAAAAAAACCTTCTTTCTTGCGCTGAGATCAAAGCGTTGCTCGAGAAAACCTCGCCCAGTTAAATCACCACACATCTTTACCACATGCCAGTTCGAGTGTCCACCGCCCATCTGACGACACGAGTATCGGGCCGGGATGCTTTGGAAGGGATTCCAAAGTGGAATCACGTGCAGGTCGGAGATACCATCGCGTGTGGGATGACGTTTTTAATTGGAGACCAGACACATTAGCATGCATGGCTCATCAAGACAGAGCGTGTAGAGACAAACAGGTTTTCGTGGAACCACGTAATGCTGGGACATGTTTCAGAAGCAATAATTAGTTGCCGCATCTCGGTCTTATGTTGACAGACTCTTGTCGTGGCCGATTTCTTTCTTCCTCGTCACTCCCCGAGAGGAATGGCTACAGGACAGCACGCCGTCCCGTTGGGACCGGCGTTGACATGTCGTGGTGGGGCAGGGCACCAGGATGCCCAAACACCCACCCCGGAGGATTTTCTGAATCTGCCCTCCCATCTGGGTGGTCTGGGTGGGTTGGCCGTATTCCAAAAACAGGAGAGCTTTGTCCATTGTTTTGTATATTAGGAGATGATTTGGAACAAGTTCAATTTTCCTCTTAAATTTGATGATAAGGACAAAAGTTGACATGCCAGTGCACTAAATTAAAACAAATGTTTGAACAAAATAAAAACTTGTGAGCAAAAGCTATAGAACAGCCGAAAATGTTTCCACCTCCTAAATCCCAGATCAGATCCTCTTTTACCCGCCTAGCTACGGTACAGGGTCACGAATAATGTCAGTGGCTCAACGTTCCCGCGCTGCTGCGTTGTCCATATATTCTGGCTGCTGCTACCGATCTCCCTTAACCCTCGCCGGACCTATTGGTTTTCTACATACATACGCGCCGGCCGAGGGGGGGGGGGCGGGTACGACCCCCCTCGCCGTTTCGTACCAGTTGGAGCTAGCGCGTCGCGGAAAAACGAGCGTGTGCGCCGTTACGAAACACAGAGATTGATACCCAATTTTAAGGTCCTAGTTTAACCGATGACCTCTGAGGTCAGGCCAAGTGCCCCAAGGTACGGTTCAGTTTTTTTTTGTGAATAACTTTGCAAAAAACGGCCGCTGAACCGCGATTTTGTCAGCATCGTGTTCGCCTCGCTCAGGCGCGTCGAATGTTATACTTTTTGTTTGGGTCAGGTCAACTTAGAGTGTTGACCTCAGGTCACGGTCAGGTCAGCGCCCCCCAAGTCACGAAGCTGAGCGAAAGAGGTCATGTCGCATATCATTTGATTCGGCAGGTCTTCCTGAGTCCATTGGTGGCTTTTCCGACTCGCTAGCTCAATTTGATCGGGAGTTATTGACGAAAAACTTATATGACCTTGATGACGTCACAAATGACGTCACGCAAGGTCAACATCGCAAAAGTGACGCATTTATCCTTGCAAGGAGTGCATCAAATCACGATTCTGTGTGCTTGAGATAGTTGGAGATCGTTCCCGGCGCCAGAATAGCAGTTTTCATTTTTCCCGGTGACTTATAATTGTGAGGCCACGAAAATGGCCTGACTTCATATGACCTTTAGGAAAAATCCGAGATATACAAGTTCATTGAGTCTCGTAATGGATACTAGATCCTGCAAGCTTCATTTCCCTGTGAAAGATCCTCTGGCAGTAAGGGCGTTGCGCGAAGTTGCGAATCTGAAGACCGTGTAGAGGTTCGTTTACTTATGACGTCATAGGTCAGTGACCTGACCTGACCCGAAAATGCGGTTGGTGTCAGAAGATCAGGCTTGAATCAAAGGTCAGGTATGCCAAGTTTCAGCTCTCTATCGCCAGCGTGTTCAGAACTATCGCAAAAAAAAAACCCTATGGGGGGCGGCACCCGCCCCCCCCCCCCTCTCGGCCGGCGAGGGTTAAACGACCTACACGACGTAGGTACATACACCCGTAATGTCCACAGAGTATACAGGACCCATGTACAGCCGATCCCGTCTTGTCCTAGTAGTCCTTTCATTTCACAATATACACGACACAGATCATGCGAACCAGACCATGGCGCCACCAGAAGCCATGTGGATCGGCAAGGCGGAAACCAGGCCCGGGGACCACACATGGTTTCACGCAAATAGAACACCATGCGTCAGGCCACGTGTTCCTGATATTCCGACCGACGCTGGAAACCGTCAGTGGGTCATGGGAAAAAAAAACGTCGGTAAAGAACACTGGACGAGATTCCTTTGGACAAACAAATTTCAATTTCAGAAAACAGCTCTGTCGGTGACTTGTAGACGTAATTCGAATATAACTACATCATTTGCATACGTAACGATTATATACAAAGTGTAATGTAACTGCGAACCCACGCCTGTGATCCCAAGCGTCTGTCGTTTAAAATGTTTGGTTATTTTTGTCGCCAGCACACTGCCGAAACTCCTGACGTGGACCAAGTCGCTGTCATGGTTTATGTACGCCAACGAAGCCTTCTCTATCATCCAGTGGTCAGGGATAGAGAACATTCGTAAGTACCACCGAGAAACACCGACAGGACCCAAACAACGCCGTCGCGGCGCAGATAAACGACATTGACCTCCCTGGTGACATTTTGGTCTGTTTTACATCTTTCATCTTATTACTATTCAATGACGTATCAAAAGCTGCAAAGCACTATTTTGTTAAACTATTATTTGTTTAGACATCGTGCTATCATTGCCAGCGTTTCAAATGACGTCTACTCCGCTATTTTCCGACTCTCTGGGCGTTTGTTCACATCCTGCACCTTCTTACAGCGTGTGAGAACTTATCAAACTCATCGAGGTGCCTGAAGAACGGCGAGGAGGTACTGAATAAGTACAGCTTCCACTCGGGCGACCTGGCGATCGACTTCAACGGGTTCATCCTGCTCTTCACATGCTTCCACATACTGGGCGCCGTGGCGCTGTGGCTGCGTAGTCGCCGACAGTGAGCCGAGACCCCCAAACGGCGCCGGTGGTCGTCCTATGACCGGACGCCTGTCCGACGGGGAAGGAGGGCCGACTAAACAGTCGGCGACGGGGACGGGGAGGATGACTGAGAAACACTGGTGATTAGGATTAGAGATGTGACGTTTGCAGTCGTCTGATGCGCGATGCGCCTCACAGAGCGATCGTTTATGACAGTTGGCAGGGAGGGACGTTGCCCGTCCGATATCGGTACGGGGATCACTGCTGGTCGGTGGTTACATATCACACCCATATGGTGATAGCACGGCGGACGGGCGGCTGATGCTTCAGCTCGGTGTGAGCTGAGTGGGGGTGGAATGCGTGGAAACGGGAATGGTTTGCGGTATTTGCTTCATATTCCCTCTGGTTGACCCCAGCTGCATGTTGTTAAGTGCTTTTGTCTATGATCGTGTTTTGCATATATACTTTTTACAAATAAAGTATTAGGTACTGTGTACAAACTGATTGGTGCTGGATTCAATATAGCCAGTGTCATGTCAATATTTGGGTGCATATGCTGATGTACGCTGATGATACAGCATAACTGCCTATTAGTTTGTCATTTTTAGGCATGATTGGTGTACTTTCACTAACATGCCTTGAGCAAACGTGTCCTCAACTATCAATAAACAGACGTACGCGATCGACCAATTTTGTTTTGACTCCAGAACATTTCACCCGGTAGTGTTCTTCCGTAATCAAACATTCTGAAGTAAATAAGTGACTAAGCAGCACACTCCGGTTTTATGCAATTCTTTATCGCAATGTTTCCGGTCAGGCTAATTCTCACTGAGCGACCTAGAACAAGGTCAGTGACCTCGGCACGACTTCATCCACCTCATTCACCTCAGAAGTGTCACACTTTCTCAGTAAGTGGGCACATGCCTCATCACATGCGAAGCAACAATCCAACGACTCAACCTTTATAGAGCTATCACCCTGGCACATCGCAGGCACGCGCTCAATGACGCACGTTTTCAGAGACGACGACGGGAGGTCCGGCGCAGCAGCATTTCCCGTGGCGATGCGGTCATCGAGGACTGGAGGGCTCCGTGACACCCGACCCGGAGGTCACCGGCGTCTCATCTAGGGTCACTGTGATCTCACGGATTGATGCCGAGTCTGAAAGAAGCGGTAGCGAGCACAGTCCCGTCAGATCTCTCACGTATAAGCCAACAGTTTGAAGCGGGTAAAAGTTTGTACTCGAGTCATGCCTATTACCTATGCGTCTAACGTGAAAATTGAGGCTGGAGTCATTTTAGGATTGTAACGCCCTAAGAGAGTGCATGCCGCAGACCCAGGACATAAACCGATTCATGCGAATAAATCCTCGAGGAAAGCACATGGTGTTTGAGAATTGAACAGCCTTAACGAGTAAGTTCAGTTCATACTCCGCCCACTATACCGTGACATTACATCTCTGCCAAGTCAGGGCCAGCGACAGAGCGGCTCAGCGAAGGTGATCGTCCCGCCGCCTACCGGTCGCGCTCTGCCCCGCTCACTGACCTGCGCTGTAGGGGTCGGGCGTGTCGCGGTCCAGCCGGGCCGCCGACACCACCGCCTGGCCGAGCGAGGACGCCTCCGGGGTCGACTCGCCGCCGGCGCTGGTCTGTGTCGGTGGCGGGGTGTCGGCGCTGGTCTGAGTCGGCGGCAGCCTCTCCAGCAGCGGCTCAGTCTCGCCCTGCTGCTGCGCCACGAGCCTCTTCTTCCCGCGGGCCAGCACCACGCAGAACAGGAGACCCACGGTGAGCAGGAGGCTGCCGACGGCGCACGCCACGATCAGGCCGATGGTCTGCAGGTGGAGACGCTCCTCCTCTCGCTCCCGAGCCTCCGTCACGTCCAGATAGAAGGCCGGCACGTAACGGCCCTGCTGCAGAACGCCCAGGTCCTTAGCGAGACGCGACACGGCCTCGCGCTCTTCAACGCTGACATACTGCTCTGTGGCCAACGCGGGTATGAGCAGCTCTTCCAGCCACGAGATGATGGTCTCATAGAAGGCGGTCATCAGCTTGAGGCGAGACGCCCGGTCGGGAACGTGAGTCACGTCGTTTACGAGGCAGCAGAGCGCGTTGGCCAGGTGATTGCGCAGTTCGGTGGAGCTGAGGGCCACTTCTTTGCCTCCCGGAAACCGGACGCGCATCGGCCGAGGACTGGTGACCAGGAGAGGCGCGCTGATTCGCACCAGGGAGGAGTTGCGGTAGCTCTCGGGAGCCTCGCGTCCCGTGAGCTCGGCACAGTTCTCCACGCGGCAGCCCTCGGCCAGAATCCAGTCCGGCACGAGCACGTCCTCCCGCTTGGTCCGATGATCCCACTGATCCGTGAAAAAGAGGCCATCGTGCTCGGTGCCACGTGTCGTGGATGGTGACGACAAACAAGTGGCAAACACAATGTAGACGAGTCTGACCCGCATCTCATGGTCATGTGACAGCATGCGCAAGTTCAGAGAAGTACGCGTCTAAGCGGTATCTCCAGTTCCATTCCGACAGAGTCGAAAAATATTACTAACTTTCATGATGTTTGGCATAATGCGCGTTTGGTCAGAGCCTTCGTGGAGTTCATGAAGCGGAAATGGGTCAGATTTCATGAGCCTTCACTTTATTCTTTCATGAGAGCGCTTCCTCCCTGTATTTAGCTTCGGATCTTTGAGCTCACGCTTCAAAAATGTGTGAGATATTGCATAAAATAAGCTCAACTTACAGATACAATATCAATTAACAACATAAAAACACTAAACAACATATCAAACATATAACTCAGGCACTCGAGACACTTGAAACGCAGAGCGCTGTTTTTGTCGAGGCTGCGCCTCATCTAAAATTTCTGAAAGCACGTGATGTTCTTTAGGACGGAACCGTGCGGAGTACTCACTCCACCGAGGAAAACGATTTTGTAGATCCATACAAAATCGTAATTTGTATGGATCTGGATGTAATTCCAATCCAGGGCCCAAGCGGTTGCGTGGCAATCGCAAAGAGCGAACATTAGACATTAGATAATCACAATTCACATTAGATAATCGTGACAAAGGCAACCAGGTTATGAAATGCGAGCACGTCACGCGGACGATGCGTGTAACATGTTCATCATCTCTGCCTCATTTCTAGGAGCAGTTGCTGACCGGCACCAGTTTGAGCCGATCGATCGTGAGACACCAATCTTCCGTAATGAGTCTCAGGTGCAGCGCTGTCGTCCCCAAATGGCCGCCGGTTATTGGACCAGGTCACGGGCCGGGCACGTGCGTCCTCTGTAAGGGCGGGCCCCGGCTGAGCCCTGTCGCTCACTCGGCCATCTACAGAGCTAACAGCATCCAGTCGACAGCCGCGGCTCAGAGAGCGGTGTTGATAACGACGGACGCTCCTGCTTTTCTCAAAGGTACGATAACGCAGACTTTCTCTTTCAATTTCGGGTAAATAAGGTTGGAATCAGTCCAGATTTGCAGCCAATTAAAACATCATTTACACACAATGACCCACGTTCTGCTGAAATTATGGTCTCTTATTTCTGCCCCAGATGTCGCTCGACATTCGACGGGTTCTGGTCGCCGACGGTATCAGTTCGGAGTGCAGCGACCGACTGAGGCAAGCTGGCCTCAAAGTGACCGAAACCGGAAAACTGAGCGTTGATCAGCTGATCGAGATGCTCCAGGTTAGATGCTGTCACATTTTATGCTTTCTATATTGCGCTTCGAGAGTGAGTGAAAGAGTGAATGAGGAGTGAGTGACATAGTAAGTGCATGCTTGTTTTGTTTAAGCAATTTCACAGCATACAAGAGATTCCATACATTCACCGTGTTATCATGCATGTAAAACTTGCATTATCTTACCATAAGGTGACTCATCTATGTCAAGTTATTGTGTCAACAACTTTAAGATTACGAAATTCCTTAATGTATTTTGCGGCAGTTTATATTTATAGAACAGAACAGAACAGATTTATTTGAATAAGATCCACGATTACATGGCTTTTCACTTACTCGCGTCTGAATGGTAATACAATGGGAAGTTGGAACAGACACACGGAAATGACTACAACCATACCATGCATACACTCGCACCAGAAACAATATCGTAAATCAGAGAGATCCAGCGAACAGCCTGGCATCTGCCCGGAAAGACAAAGTGCCAGGCTCAATGCCGCTGTCGTTCAGCAGCGACACACCGCGGTAACAGAGTCGCCGCCTGCCGGCCTCCACACAGATGGCCGGAAGGGTAAACGAGTCCGCTCGCCTGGTGTTATGATCATGCCGCTAGTGGGCTCGCTGTCCGAAGGTCTTAAGAAGAAAGTCCGGATGACCTGACTTCATCGTCCGCTCGACTGCACACAAGGTATGGTAAGCCACCAACTGTTCGGCCGTGAGCCAGCCGAGGCTTGATATGGCACTCGAGATGTGATCACATCGCCTTTTCCCGGTCACAACACGTGCGCAGAAGTTGATGGTCTTCTGTACACGGTGCAGCTGTGTGCTAGTACAAGACCCATACACCGACATGCAGTAGCGCACAATGGATAACACTAGAGCTTCTGTGATGCCCTTTAACACAGGTCTAGGTATGACGTGACGTGCGTGACTTAGGGCTATCAGAATACCGGCGCACTTATGGGACATATTGTCTATCTGAGCCTCAAAATTGTTATCTCTCAATTCTCTATAGGCTATCTATAGGCTATCTCAAACGTAATTTGATAATTTCACATCAACGCGCAGCGCAGTGCATGTATTCTACTGTTACCTTACCTTACCCATAGCGTGATCAGACTTTGGAGAACACATTTGGACGGTCCAACAGTTAGGACGGTCTAACTGTTGAACGGAGACTTCTAAGCTAGACGCGTCTAAAGTTAGCTGTCGCCAGATAGACGCAGCCGCCGTCCAGCTAGACGCGAAATGGGTCTCCACCCATGGTCTGATAGGGAATCGTTCTCATCGAGCTTGTTCACGTTGGAGACTTTTATAGCGTCAATTTGGTACCTCTCTGGTTTCTCCGCACATTTCAGGGCTATGACGCGCTGCTGGTGCGCTCGGCCACCCAGGTGACGGGCGCCGTGTTCGACGGCTGTCGCAGACTGAAGCTCGTCGGACGCGCCGGTACCGGTACCGACAACATTGACACCCAGGCCGCCACCAAACACGGCGTCATCGTTATGAAGTGAGCACAAGCTACCTGTCCAAGACGCTACGAGCATTGAACCAAATAATAATATGCACAATAATATGTTTCCGCAACACATAAAAAGGAACTTTTTAAATAACAGACAAAATATTATCTAATGTTCCACAAACCACAAAAGAAGTTTTACTTCTGAGCGAGTGTGCGTACGTACTTAGTTACGAGTATCTGTGGTAAAATACTGGTAATTACAATGAAAACTACAGGGTGATTTTTTTACAGGGCAAAAAGTTTTTAAGCCTAGAGATACCAAAACATATAACAAACGCCTAAAAAGTATATCCATGTGAAAGGAAATTGTTTGTCATTTTGTTTTCAGGACCTTTTAAAGACTTCTTGGGACTCATTCTGTTGTGAAGTTCCGTGAAAACGGCGCACAACAAAATGTTTTCCCCAAAATCGCCAATTACTCCAGGCTTGCGTGCATTAAAACTGTGCTCACTTCGAGCACGTTCTGTAAGCCTAAACGGAGCTCAAACTCAAAGTTGGTGTGTGCAAATGAAATGTCAGAATGTGCTTTTTACAAAGATATACATTTGCTGTCAGTTGACCTGTTTTCTGGTACCGCCATTGCTCTTTACTTTTTGCCCTGTATAAAAAATCACCCTGTAGACACATCAGTGCACACTTATACCGAGCCCGAGTAGTGTCAGTTGCCACTGCACTGCATAGTGCTCGGTACTGAGTGCTCTGTGTTCGCAGCACGCCCGGTGGGAACACCGTGAGCGCCGCGGAGCACACCTGTGTTCTGATCACCGCCCTCAGTCGCCAGCTGGCGGCGGCATGCAGCTCGCTCAAGGACGGACACTGGAAACGGTACGGAATTATAACGAAACATATTCAACGATTTACTAAACATAGACGGGATTGGGAAGTAGATTACGATGTGGATTGGTCGTAAATGTAAGAGTGTTAAGAGTGTCGTTTGTAAGAGACCTGTGACTTGAATTAGAGATCAAAAGCTAAATGATATCCCTGAAAATGTGGTCAGCTTTATATTTTCATTTTCCGTTTAGCTCATCATCGGAACATTTTCAAAAGGCCGTCTACTGTATGCTGAGCCTGAGCATCTGACCCTCTGACCGCAGGAGTGCGTTTGTGGGCTCGGAGCTGTACGGTAAGACGCTGGCGGTGCTGGGTCTCGGCAGGATCGGAAGGCAGGTAGCACACAGGATGAGCGCCTTCGGAATGAAGGTGAGCCTGAAGGGTCAGCTGGTTGGGTGGCTGGTCTGGAAATGTCTGCTAGGGTGGGCAGGTCGAAAGCGGCTGACTTCGTAATTGGCTCGCTCTTTCGAGAGCTGTTTTTAAGCCAATAAAAGCGGTCGAAAGAGTAGCGACTCATTATGCTCCCAGATATGCTCTAATTTCATTAAATCACGACACGGGACATGGTTGTGAGTTGCAGTTATTTATCAGAAACTCTCCAAGGATAACGGTTCGCTTTCGACAGGTGACTGGCTACGACCCGATAGTAACGGCCGAGGCGGCTCGGCAGTTTGGCGTGGAGAAGAGAGAGCTGGACGACATCTGGTCTGATGCCGACTACATCACTGTGCACACACCCCTCATACCGCAAACCAAGCGTAAGAGCCGCGTCGGCTCCCCCCCCCCCCCCCACCACTACATCACTGTGCACACACACCTCATACCGCAAACCAAGCGTAAGGGCTGCGTCGGCTCCCTCCCCCACCACTACATCACCGTGCACACACCCCTCATACCGCAAACCAAGCGTAAGAGCCGCGTCGGCTCCCCCCCCCCCCCACCCCTACATCACTGTGCACACACACCTCATACCGCAAACCAAGCGTAAGAGCTGCGTCGGCACTCGGCGCCCCCAAATACGCCGTCCGCGGCTTCTTGAGAGCTGGCGCTGCGAGCGCGGAGTGCTTGTGGAACCACTCACTAGATGGCAGTAGTTGTAAGCGCCTGAATCTATGCTGCACCGCACGGCTCGAGATGAAGTCTCCGCGCTGGTAAAAAGGTAAAAATCACATGAAGGTGGACCATGGATTCGCTGAACTTCGGTCGGTCAAATTTAGTTCATCAGATGTGCTCATGATTAGCTCATTGTAAACGAGGCGCTGGTACTCATTTAGTTGTCCTAGTTACACCCCGTTCCGGCAGATCTGATCGGTGCCGCTGTGCTGTCCTGTCCCGCTGTAAGCTCGGGTGGTTTGGGGTTTATTTACCGCTCTCCTCCCGGCAGATCTGATCAGCGCCGACTCTCTGTCCCACTGTAAGCGCGGGTGGTTTGGTGCTTATTTACCCCCCCCCCCCTCCTCCCGGCAGATCTGATCAGCGCCGACTCTCTGTCCCGCTGTAAGCGCGGGTCGTTTGGTGTTTAATTACCCCCTCCCCCCGGCAGATCTGATCAGCGCCGACTCTCTGTCCCGCTGTAAGCCCGGACGGTTTGGTGTATAATTGCCCCACTCTCCCGGCAGGTCTGATCAGCGCCGACTCTCTGTCCCGCTGTAAGCGCGGGGTTCGGGTGGTGAACGTGGCGCGCGGCGGGATCGTGGACGAGGCGGCGCTGTTGGCCGCGCTGGAGTCGGGCCAGTGCGCCGGCGCCGGCCTGGACGTGTTCGCCGAGGAGCCGCCGACCGACCTGCGGCTGGTGCGGCACCCGGCCGTCATCTGCACACCGCACCTGGGCGCCAACACGGGCGAGGCGCAGCGGCGCGTGGCCGTCGAGCTGGCCGAGCAGATCGTCAGCGCCGTCACCGTGAGCGGCGGGCCGAGGGGGAGCGGACAGGTCACGAGAATGCGGGTTGGCGGGGCACGGGAGGGTCGGAGACTGGGTATGAAGGTCACAGCGGTGATCGGTCAATGACTTTTAAAGTTCAGCACTGTTTCCATCACTAAATGCTCATTTGTAGTTGCATACATCAGCCCACATTCTAGCTGACCAGTGTCTCTGTTCAACAGGGAGGTCCCCTGGAGGGTGTGGTGAACGGAGCGGGCGTCACAGACGCTCTATCGCCAGCTAACAAACCGTACGTGACGCTGGGAAAGGCGCTCGGAGTCCTGCTGTCTCCCGGACTGGGAACCCAGGTCGATAAATGTCAGCTGCAGATCATCACTGCAGGTCAGTCGAGGAGACTCCATCGTGCGATGGATGGTTCGTGCTTTCACCCCGTTCTCCGATAAATTTATACCAGAGAAAATAGTTTCTTGCAATACTGGCAAAAAGCTGCCCTCCATAAGATTACGGAATATCCACCTAACATCTATTTTCACTGAACCTGTCGGTTTCATACACATTCTCTCTCCCTCTCCCCTCACGACCCTGCTCTCGCCAGGCCGGGAGATGGCTGAGCGGCAGGCGTGTCTCCGCGCCGGTCTCCTGGTCGGTCTGCTGACCGGTCACGGAGGCGAGGTCAACCTCCTGAGCGCTGCGCCGCTGGCGGCCGAGCTGGGTGTGGCCGTTTCACTGTCCGAGCACACTGCCGGTGACCCGGGGGCCGGCGGCGGCACCGTCACCGCTCGGCTGACCACCGCCGACGGAGCGGACACAACTGCCGTCACAGGTGTAGTATGAACAGTTTGTGGAAAGAACGAGCCTTACCGATGCCGGCTTTCCTCGTGATGAGAATAATTGATTCGAAGAGCCTACGGATCTCACAAGTTCGCAACACTGTTACCGGATTTGAAAATGATACAAAGTGGTCTAAACTCTAAAGTATGTTTTTGATCTAGAGCTAATTCGTCAACCCGAAATGAACTATTTAATGGGCACAGAAATTGCCGGACTATTAACACATTCCTTTCCTCCAGGCACGCTGCGGGGAGAGCAGGCGACGCTCCTCGAGCTATATGAGGCGCAGTTCGAGACCGGCGTCACCCTACAAGGACGTATGATGTTCTTCCAGGAGGATGGCCATCCAAACGCTCTGGTGGAGTTAATCAGTGAGTTTACCGCTGCAGACCTTGTAGAATCAGTTATTTCAAATGAGATTCGTACGGTCAACGATCAGAAATGGGTAAGATCAACTGCCTAACTTACGTGCTCATGTTCACTACATGAGAAAGGTTATATAGGATCGGGGAAAAGCAACAGCAAAGAGCATGGTGTCAATCATTTCACCAACTGAAAACCGCCCTAAAAACGAACTCGAATGTGTCAGTCTGATGACTTCCACCCCACAGCGGCGCTGGCGGCGGCGGACGCGCGGCCGATGAGTGTGCTGGCCTCAGTGTCGACCTCCGGGGCCACCCAGATCCTGGCGGTGCGACTGCCACAGGGGCAGCCACAGCTACAGCAGCTGGACCACACCAAACTGTACCTCCAGACGGACTTCTGAGCGCGCTCCAAGTGTGAGAGAGCGAGGACGTGGTGTGGGCATGAACTGAGGCGAAAAAACGGTGACTATGATTATGGTGATTTTGGTGATTATAGTGTAGGTAAGTGAACTAACAAAAATACTGTTGAATAATACCGGTGAATATTAGCAGAACATAAATAAATAGGCGTCCTATAATTGCTACTTTTAGGCGCCATAAGCAGACGCGCATATGAAAATCGGCATATTTGTGTAAATCGGCATATCAATAATGTCATTAAATAAAAAGTACATTGTAGGTATGTAGTTACGATATATTTTCAAAAGCGGTGCACTGTGAATGAAGCATAGAACACCGAGTGGCAGTACCACCGAGGCACACATCACACAACGTGAGCCTAAACTTCCTTTGAACAGAGGCTTTGGAAGCCGCGGGCATGATGAGAGCAACTATTTACAGCAAACAGAACAAAACCTGGGGTCATCGACTCATCGCCAGCCAAACCTGGGGCAAAACCCGGTCATCATATACAAACCCCAACCTTACTCGAGCCTCTTAGTCGATACAAATGATACCAGTCTTCTTGATGAAGCAAACCTTGCAGAGCACGAGCGGTTTGGCACTGTGGCCCGGCTGCTTGTTGCCCAGCACCATCGCGTGGTTCTGCAGCACAAGATGTCCACACCCATCGCACAAATACACCGACAAGGTATCCTTAGATTTCCCCGGGTCGGCTGCACTGCTCCTGGGCCGAGTGGTCGGACTCGCGGGTTTCTGGGTGCCGAGCGCCGTCCCGGGAGGACCCACCATCTTCGGAGACGAGCCGGTGGCCGTCTTTGCTTTTCTAGTGGCCATCGGTTCGTCATCAGAACCGTCATCGAGAGCAACCTCGGCTTCAGCAGAATGACGGTCCTGCGAGAGTGGAGGAGTGTCCGAGGAATGCTGCTCCTGAGGAGTGTCGCGAACGGGTTCGATCACGCTCTGATTTGAGGCCGAGAGCTCTTCCGTGGAGCGTTGCTGTCCCTCGTGGTGTAGATTACTTCTCGGCTCTCCAGAGGACCCTCCCTGCAGGTGCACCCGCTTGAAGTGGCGGCGCAGGTACTCTTGCGACCTGAACGACAGACAGCAGGCCCAGCAGTAGTATGGCTTGTCATTGCTGTGTGTTGACATATGCCTCCGGATGTCCTTCTTCCTCCTGAATGGTCTTCCACAAACGTTGCACGCGAATGGCTTCTGGGCAGTGGTCGTGCCCCGTGTCGTAGGACCTATTTTGACCTCGCGATTCGATGAGGCACCGTTGTAAGCATCACCAGACCAAAGAGATGTAGGAGGGCTTGGCTTCGAATAAAATCCAAATTTGTCAAGAGGTGAATACGTGTCATTCGGTTGACGGTTGTCGTCAGCGACTGTCATTTCTTGTTCAAATGCCGAGTCATCAGAGCTCAGACTTGAGGCATCAAAATCGAGAGCGCCGTTCTCAGATCTTCCACCAGATGGTTTAAAATCACAAGCCGTGTCGTCCAGGGTTCCACGATGCTGATGGTTGGCACTGGTATCAGCCTTTGGACGGAGGAGCAGTAGCGTCCCAAACGACAATGGTATTTCGCGATACACCGACATTGTGAACGTTCGATGACGATGGAATTATGAAAGACACTTCAAACTCTTCAAAATTCTTCAAATAGGAGCACCAATGAGAACTGTGTTTATACTAATGGGCGTGACAGCAGGTCCAAATCAGCATGATTAAAAAAGTGACCGATACTGGTTCAGTTCCCTGCACCACCAAAATATCCTTTGGAAACACCGTCGCTTCTGCCGCCCATTCGGAGTCTCGGACCGTTTCCAAATTTCTACTGAGCTCCCAGTCGCGTGCTTGTGCGCTTCTTCAGTGAGGATCCTTCACTCCGGAGATAGTTGTTTCTGACAGCGACGAAAAATTAATTTCATCACGTCGGTGGCGTCGGTGTACAGAGCAACAATGAACGGCCGACGGCGTGTGCTTTACATGCAGCATTGACCTTTCCAGTCCAAACCTTCAGAAACGCTTCGTATGGTCCGTGAGCTTGTCGTATATGTTCGATGGAGCCCGGCACAATTAACCCTCCCCGGTCGAGGCCGAGGCGCACCTACCTATGCGTGTGTGCTGTTTGTGGGGGATGTCATCCCTACCGAGTTTCTCACGATTGCTCGGAACACGTTAGAGAGCTAATTTAACTTCGTTCAAGTTAATTCACCTGACCGTTGGTTCAGACATAATTTGTGAATTAGGTACATGAACATCATATTTCAGGTCAGGTGGGGTAACTGACGCTACCTATGGGCTATGAAGCCATACCTATGTCAACCTCCTCACGGTCCAAAAGTGTCGCAATTTCACAACGCCCTCACTTCTCAGTGTCAGGGATTTTTTGCGGGGAGATTAAATTCGAGCACTAACCTCCCGAGTCCTCAAAAGTTTTACATCTCAGATTTCCATTACAATATGGAACACCTGGGGTCAGGTCGGTCACGTGACCTCACAATACCCTACTTTGTTTGTTTTGTTGGGTTAGGCCCTTTCGGTCCAACTAGACCATTTCAGAGCCGGAAGGATGATAGGAATTAGGGGGAGACATTGGTCTGGGCAGGCACCCTAGTGAGTCACCGGGGCTGAGCCCATCCCGAAGGACAGGCCAACCAGCCCCAAGGTACTCACTGCACCCGGCTACGGGGTGCGCTCCCTCGGGAGCAGCGGTGCCGCTCCAAGGGAGCAGCCCGCAATGAGATAAAGTTGCCTGTCCAGCCCGGAGGGGGGTTGCGGCGTGGAGGCGAAGGATTTCAGTATCCTGAGGATAGAAGCACGGAACGGTCTGTACCCTACTCCTACACCTACCCAGATCAATAGGGGTAGGGCATTCCGTGTAGCTCCGCCTCCATGCATAAAATGGGTATCGGTACTCACCGGTCGTTGATTCCCCTCAGGTCTGGTCAAGTCAATATGGCCGATGAATGACGACGGTACGTAATCCAGCTATCGGTGACGCGAACCAAAGTCAAACCACACGCTGATTTCTTCAATTCACTTTCACTATCATTTCACCATCACTCACACTGCACCGCACTGCCGTCACACATTTATCAAGTAATTCGCGTGACCGGCCCCGGTTTCGCTCTTTGACACTGCACTCTGCCCTCGCAGTTCCACTGGCGGCCTCCACAACCAAGGCCCTCTTCCACAACACAGCACCAGCTGTCGCCGGACGCGACACGCAAACAAATATCGCCCCGGGCGGTTAGCAACAGGCGACCCACTGACCTCAAGTCTCAACGCGCCCGAACGCAGCAGAAGAGAATTATTCGAATTGTTTGCGTGGTTGTGATGAAATTGAATTCCTGATCAGCGAGTCAACGTCAACATTTACCTATTGTTAAATTTGTTAGCTAAGTAATATTTTTTGCAAGGAATTGTATTTTATTTCGGCAGTCTGCTTTTGAATATTCTGCAAATCTTAAACTTTCCGAATTCCAAATAAGACAAGAAATAAGATTGTTGCAGCTCCGTTTTCTTCAACTAGTGATGACTGTTCAAGACATTTAATTTTGCCTACAAAAATGTGTGCAAAGGTTATGTGAAGTTTTCCTCGAAATAAACTTCATCGAATAAGCCGAGAAACTGCTGTCTGCTGACCATGCTCATGCCATCGTAAACTTAGGGATTACGCACGGACATTGCCCGTTTTCTGACAAGACGGGCTGCCACTTGGCAGAGGCAGAGGCGGTCAGGGGGCCAAGGCTCGCGGTACAGGGTCGGAGGAGCACCCAACGCGAACGGTCAATTCCGTCCGGCGTTTATCCATTCCACTTCCAACACAGGGCTGAAACGAAACTGTCAGTGCCGAATAGCATAGGAACCGGAGTTAGACCCAGACTTTATAACTAGCGTTTTGAGCTGGGTAGTGGCTAGTGGATACTGAATATTCCGAATCGAACCGGCCTCAGAGCAAGAATGGGACGAATTTCAGCTTGCGTCCACCCAAAACCAACCAAACCACGGTTCATTAGGCGTGGACGTAACGTGCCGGATTCTGAATCTCCTGCTTATCGTAAATAGAAATGGCACTGGGAGCTGCGGCGCGCCCCTCACCAGCAGTCAGTGCAGCGGCCCAAACAGTTGAGTTTTTACATTAGAGGTCATTTAGTGACCAAAGACCTTGTCTGCTTAGGATAGATCGTCTTTGCCAAAAGCTGTTATTGACAAGCCCATCGGTCATGCAAGGCAGTTATAGCACAGTTAGTACCTATCTTGTCAAGTCTACTAGTATAGTACGATATAGTAGTCGCTATATCGCAGTAAAAGCAGTTTCACAATCACTAAACAGTCTAGCACAAGTCCGTAATCTTACAAGCCCCGTCTTGAGCTCACAGAAAGGGATGTGGCGAAATAATGTATTCACTTTTCTATGAAATGTTTCACACAGAATCACAATAAGCATTAGCTAGCACACTTTCCACTTCACATTACAGCTGAGCCTGAGATGGACGCAACGACTTGGGAATATGAGTGACGCAAATGGCACGAACGAAAGGCAGTGACATATTTTGTCTCATTCACGTCATGCGATAGCCGATAGGACATGGACTATTAGCGATGACAATGAACTTGAGAGGACAGAAGAGCCCCATTTTGGCTATAGCACAAAAATAACCCGTAAGTTGTTATGGGCATCACGGTTGAAATCATCAGTGGTTAGAGAATGTGATACAAGATTCGCATACAGGGTATCCAAAAAGTGTTTCCGCAAAACCATATTTCACATTTTGCATGGAAAGGCAAAAAGCGCTCTAAAAAATCACATTCGCATATCACCTCTTTCAAAACTCATCCGAAAGTACGACGCAGAGCCACCAGGCGGCGCCAGCTGCGTTTTGACAGTCGATGCCGTCCGTCCATGATACGCGCTCTGAAACTGCCAACATTCACAGCCTCTGCTGGGTTTTCTGCCGGTTTTTTTTTCGCCTGCAGCCTGGCACAGATCTGGCAGCTGGGCGTCTGGCAACTGAGCGTCTCGCAGTACCGGGCAGGGGTACCGAGATATGTGTACAATACATGCCTCACTGGAACGTGCTCCGTCTCCTCAATCGGCCTCCGCTGGCGGAGCGTCGGTCGGCTGCTTCCCAGACTTGTTCTTTTTCTTTTTCTTCCTGGTGATGCCCTGCTCCTTTTGCTTCGCCCAGTGCTCTTTCCATCCGCCCTCGCCAAGCTCTGCGAATGGAAATCGCTCGTGAGTCTGAGACGATAATTTAAGCTCATTGTAAAACAAAACCGAGCATTTGTTAGTTAAATAATGAAACAAATACATTACATGTTCAGGCAGAGAAGAAATGGCGGAATAAAAAACCTGCTGAAGATATATCACGTTTAACGCACACCTCTGAAAGTATCGATGTGCAAATGACACCCCCGAAAAGCAATTGAGCGTTATTGACAGGAAAACCAGACAGGATCTACAACTGTCTTCCCCTGAGTCTGTTGAAATATTATGAAATTTTTATATCCCTACACGGGCCGTAAGAACATGCGCGCACTGTCGTGGTCAGTGCAGCCTACAGTCTAGCCCTCAACTCTACTATCTCGACACCATACATCAATCGTACACACGAATACCAATACCGGTCTAGTTATAGTCAGCGGATTGGGCTGTCGGTGAGACACATTGAGTCATCCGTCGATGTCTGGTGAGACATACCGAGTCAGCGAAGGACGTACCAGACAGACTCGTCTGTCTCTCAGGCACCAGTGAGCTGATGACTGAGGTGAGAGTTCCACCCGGGTCGCCAGAACTCACCCACGGTATCCCTGTAGTGGAAGGTAGCCGGCACGCGGCCATAGCGCGTGTTGTACGGCGTCAGAATCGACGGGTCGAGCCCGAGGCAGCGCGGCGAGTCCAGCAGCGTCCTCACCGGCGACACCGGGAACTGCAGCTTCAGAGAGCCGCCGTCAGGGGCGCTGGCGCGCGAGAGTCGGACGAAGGCGCCCGAGCGGCTGTCGTGTGAGAGGAGGTACTGGCCGGGCGGCTGCTGGGTCAGCTCGACGAGCACCGACTCCAGCACCTGAGGTCAGATCAACGGGTCAGACCAACGGGGCACGTTGCTTCACATTTTCTTATCCACAAACACACTATTCCAGCACAAAAAAAAGTTTCCTCAAAACACGAATATTATCACATTTTCCTCCTGCCCACCCCCGGCTACAGCAGCCCACACCTCACCCCTCAGCCAGTACCGGACCCCGTAGTGTCCGGCCTCCCCATCTTCACCTGCAGTCCATAAGGCGGTTTGAAGCCGGTGTCATACTTGGCAAACTCCTCTGTGAGTTGACTGAAGGAGCGTTCCTCCGCGGCCAGCACCATCTGACTGATGGGGTCCAGGTGCACTGGGACGGAACGGTAGAGTTATAGAGATATACAATACAGCACGGTCAGGGCAGCACCATCTGACTGATGGGGTCCAGGTGCACTGCGCAGACAGCACGGTCACAGTGATAGTCGACACAACAGCTGACCACTATCGATATAAAACTGACCTCTGACCACACGACTGTTGGGCCGCAGCAGACAGTCGAGCCACTGGGAGATGACCTCGGGTCGGGTCATCACCTCGATCCCATAGGCCGGCTGATAGGCCACCTTGGCGTGTACAGAGTACCGCACCAGACCGGCGTTCTTCGTCTCCTGAGAACAGGCCGGAGAGTCACTGGTCAGAGAACGGTAGGTACGGAAAGCGAGAGACCGAGAAAAAGGCCACGGAAGGTGCTTGCAAGACGCATACAAAGGGAGGTAGAGAACACACGACGGAAGGTAAGGGGGACATAAATAATGAAAACCATGGAAGATCATGCTTGGGCGCAGATAATACATACATCATACTGAGCCAAAAGTTTCCTCCACTTCAGAATGTTACAGTATTTGGCTGCTAGGATTTTGCTCCCAAACCGATCTAGCAACAGCACCTCAGGCACAACACTTCAAATTCTAGCCGACAACAGTCGTATACTCTGACCCCTGAGTCCCTCATCAACCTACCCTCATGGCGTGGGTGGTGGCCCGCAGCAGCAGCCGCAGTTTTCCCAACTGCCACACGCGGTAGTGCACGTTCAGACCGGGCGGCGGGTGCAGGTACGGGTCGCCGTCCTTCCCGCCCGCCGCCGACCCGGCCGCCGCTGCACCGGCGCCCTCCCGCACCTCTCCAGGCTCCGGGGGTGACGCAGGTGGCGGTGCAGTGTCCTTGGGGGTGGTCGGATCGCAGCCGGAGGCGACCTCTCCTCCGCCGGACGCTGAGGGGCGTGCGGTGTCGTCTGCGTCCGCTTTGGCCGGAGCCGTACTGGAGTTCAGTGTTGAGTCGACCCCGCCGGTAGCAGCGCTGGAGTTTTCTTCCTGAGCACACTCTTTTGCGTCTTCACGGGGCAAGTCCTCGTTCTTCTGTCCTTCTTCCTTCTTAGGTCCTCCCTCCTCCACCACCATCAGTCCTCCCTCTCCCTCCTCCATCTGTCCTCCCTCCTCCTCCTCTTCCGTCTGTCCTCCCTCTTTGTCCTCCTGCCCGGCGCAGTCGATCTGCAGTCCCTCGTCGTCAGAGGAGTCCTTCCCAGACGAGTCCCCTCCGTCCCGGTCGGCGTCCACCCTGATCTCCGGGTCGGGCTGTTCGCCCGACTCCAGTCGGCGCCTCTTCTCCGGTGGATCAGACGCGTCGGCCTCCCCGCACTGAGCCGGCTTCACTTTCCGCTTCTTATTCTTCTTCTTCTTTTTCCGCTGCTGCCGTTCCATTTCTTTCTGCCTATTTTCTGCTTTCCTTAGCAGTCTTGCCTCACTGCGAATGAAAATAGCAACGAGTTAATTTACAGTATCACAAATAATAGACCAATGATATTACACACATGAAGAACAACGTAACTCACACGGACCAGCATGTTCTTTTCGCATCCAAAGACCGATCAACGATATGCATCCACAGTAGTACACATTGTTACACTGATCAAAGCATCGGGTTCATCTCCCTCTCCCATTTTCCGCATCATGTAAATACATTCCTCGCTCAAATCACGCCTAGAATTCTGACCGTGCCATCCTACCCCACTGAGCTACAAACCAACCCGAACCATATCCCTCCTCTCGTTCCGACTCACTATGCCTTCTTCCTCTTCATGTACTGTTCCTCCCAGATGCTGTAGTCGGCGGGCTCGTCTCCAAAGACGCGCTTACACACCAGGATACGCACGGTGTGCTTGTGGCCGCGCGTGTTACGCTCCAGACAGTTCATACTGCGCGGCGGCAGCGGCTTGTCGACAAACACCACCCTGATGGTGGGGGAAAACGGATATCGGTTAGGGCCGGACCAGGCGGATCGGATGGAGTCACATTCATTAGCCAATTGCATTGTCTGCTTATTACCAACTTACGCTTTATACTGCGTTCATTTTCGAATATTTAGCCTTAACTTTCTCGCTTCAAATCTTTGCGATCCTAAATCATATATGCATTTTGAGATACCTTTAGCACTTGGAGGTCGTTAACCCTAGAACGCCTAGGGGGGGGGTGTATCAACCCCCCCCCCCCTGAGGTTTTTTCGAAGTGCACGCTAAACGGCTTGTCGTAGCGGGCTGAAACTTTCAATACCCTCTGGGGCAGCCTTTGCGCATCTTTTGCCGAAAAAAATTGATCGGGTCATGTCAGGTCACGGAGTTATGACGTCATAAGAGGTACAGCCTCCGGCCGACAGTTACCAAACGTGTGCGCCGAATCCCTAGGTTTTCTGCCGGTGATACCCACATTGTTTGATGGATCATGATGAAACTTCCCATGCATGTTGGGGCAAGCATTGGCTATCGTGTGGTGCAAGAAAATTGACCGGGTCAGGTCAGGTCACGGAGTTATGACGTCATAAGAGGAACAGCGTCCGGTACTATTTTTGAAAAGCGCCCGAACCACTATTTTGCTAATTCTTGTCCCTCAATGGGAATATGCAGCAATATTAGCTTCTATAAGGAGCAAATGGACCTTCCAAATCCAAAAATACAATCAGATTTCAAAAATTTAAATTTTGATTTTTCGAATTTCTGCCGCCGACTGTGACCTTGCCGACTTCCGGCGCTCCCAACGCGCCATTTTTAGAGCTAGGGAAACGAAATACATACCAAACGATAGAGAATTGATCAAGGAACACGATAGTGAAGGTTTCAAGTCGATATCTTCCACAGTTTTGCCGCAATCGCCGCGGAAAGTTGAAAAAAGTCTATTTTTCCGAAAATTTGACCTTTGACCGGTCAAAAGTAGGTCAAATGTTGACCTAGGACCAAAAAATATACCACCAATCGCGAGATCTCGTTGAGAGCAATCCGTTGGTTTTTTCCGCTAAGCTCTACGACCTTCCGTTTCGAAACGCCGGGGGGGGGGTCGTAACAACCCCCCCCCCCCCTCCTGGTCGTTCGTGTTATGAGAAATGGCCTGGTCGTGCGAGGGTTAAAGGTAGTGTGCCAGCTTTCTTGGACCGTATGGAGTTAATGGCCCAGATAAGGAGAACCGGATTTTTAGAACTTATCCATACCTTCAAAACTCATGGAAACGTCTTAAATTCTTCAAATTTTGAGTACCCCAGTGCGAAATTCGCCCCGACGGGTTGTCGGTCGTACCCCAACCACATTTCACACCACTATGAACAATAAATGCACACACTGAAATCGCTATTACCGATATGCTCATCCAATCAAGTTTCGATAAACCCGTTCATCATCATCTCCTGCGGTTTCGAACACGCCTGTTAGGTGGCTTCTGATGCTCGTCGAGGTCGGAATTTCCAAATACGCGTGGTGCGTCGGGCCGCGCGCTCTGACTTCGGCCAAGAAAAATGCGTCAGCTGATCATTGTCATTTCTGCCACTTGCGTGTGGTGAAATGGGGTCATAACTTATAAGACGGCTTTTTCATATCAATTATTTTACATAAAATCATATTTCAAACCATAAATAATGTTCGACAGCCAAATAAAAGAAACAATACAATACGGGCTTACAGTTTAAGGCTCGACATTTTGTTGTCTACGATTAGACAGCTGATAACTCATTCCCGTACGTCGTATGGTCGTAACACTATAATGACCTTTGCTTATTGTCACAAGTGCGCCGCATTCGCGATTGTTGCCCGACGCCTGTTTGCAGGTGAGCCCACTACAGTTGTTATACATATCTAAAAACCGAAAAACTTTTAGGCGAAAAAGGCACTATTCCAGGCCCATTTTTGATTTTTTTTTTGCGATATTAGGTAAAAACAGAAGCTTCTTATCCTAGGAAAAATAAAATGGGAAATCTTTCAAAGGTGGCACACTACCTTTAAAAGAAACCAAACTCGAATAATGTGCATCCAATAGCAAGTCTGTCGGTGTTACAGTTACAACAATGCTTTCCTAACTAAGCGACGGACACAAGCGCAATGTAACTGAACCCACTTTCTGTGCGTGCCGGGCTGGGTGCCGGGCACGATGCGAACGGTCACGGGTAGCTCCCACTGCCGGTCCCAGGCGGGCGCGCTGTTATCCAGCAGCGTCTTCAGCGCCGACGGGGAGGTGACGACGTCAAACTCCTGCTGCGCCGAGAGCAGCGACACGTTCGGGTCGGAGCTCACTGTCCGTGGGAGACGGGGGGAGGTCAGGGGGAGATGGAGCGAGGTCAGCGGGGGAGACCTAAAAAAATGTCGCTGCAGGCGCGTGAAAAAGACTGTCATTTTGTCGCCGCATCACCAGGTGATACATGCAAGACGCTTCAATGAGAATATGAAACTCATCCGGAATGTGTGATTCAAACAGGACATGTGAGCCTCTCAACGGAAATATGACTACGACCCACGCCTCACCGGGCATCTTGTAGAGGTAGGTGCCATCCCTGGGCGTGAAGTGCGAATCGTTCGGCGCCTTGGGGCACACGTCCCCGGTGGGAAACATCAGCTCCAGGAAGCTCGTCTGCCGCTTCACGTCCGTGTAAGTCTTCAGGTGGGGCATCACGCAGATGGGCACCCGTCCGAGCTCGAGTGGCGCGCTGACGGCGGCGAACACGGGCGGCGCACCCACCGGCGGCGCCAGCGGCAGCATCGTCACCGGCTCGTAGGCGGTGGGGTAGGTCCTCAGCGTGTGACGGATCTTATTCTGTGCGGAGAGAGGTATGGTGTGATGACGACGATACAGCGGACCCGGGGCTCGAATGGAATTGTGGCATGATCGAACCGACATAGCTGAGAGCAGACAGAGGTTTTTGCCGCTGCATTGATAAGTGATAGCCAATCGGGAGTGATGGGGACGGATCCCAAATCAGTTCAACCATATCGGCATTGACAAAAGAGTCGGCATGTCGGCAGAGACAAAACACGAACGGAAGCTACTAGTTAAAACGGAATGAATACCCGGTCCAGCTCAGAGATATTACGCTCTATTTCAGGCCAGCGCATTGGTTGATAGTTGATATGCAAGTTGTTCCCACCCGCCCACACAGTCGGCAACGACCACTGCCTCACCGTCATGCGGAGGTGGATGTACTTGTCGATGAACTCGTTGATGTAGTTGTACCGCTGCACCTGGGTGAGGTTCACCTCCTTGGCAAAGTTCAGAAACTCCTGCTGCTCAGCACGCATCTCGCTAAGCAGTTTCTGTCGAGCAGGGACGGGGAGACAATGACCAACGTAAAACGGGAATGAAGGACACAATTCACAGTGCACGTTAGTGGCTGGGAGAATGTTACCTACACAATAAGATTTCACATTTCTTACCTTTGATAGTGCATCATTCAGTAACAGATCAAATCAAGCAACGCACGCCCAAAAACGAGCCAGCACAAAAGTCCCAGCACCCCTCAGTCCGCCGCCCGGCACCGACCATGAAGCGCGTGACGTCTCGCCGGTCAGCCAGCGGCGGGTTCGTGGGCACCCCGGTGGCCCAGTAGCGCGCCATCATGTCCACGACGAACCGCTGCTGCTGCTTGGTCCACGCCGAGAAGCGCGGTAGCTTGCGCGGCGCCTTGCAGATCGCCACCCATTGCTTCCTGGCCATGCCATTTACCACCTGGGAGGTTGAGGTGATGTCATAAATAGTTACAATGGTGCCTACTGTGTGGAATATTTACCTTCGCCCGGGTGGGGGTGGGGGATATTTTGGCCACACCTGCCAGTCTTTTTTGCGTGTGTAGGTAAAGAAAACCGTGGCGCACAGCGTCGCAAAACTTGGTATAGCTTATGATACATCACTTTCACATCATGTGTGAAATTTTTGACCAAAGGTCACATAAGGTCAGGTCACCTGGTCAATTTAAGTGACCATGCCCCTAAAAAACCTTGTGGTTCCGTCATTCCAACAGTTTACATCCCAGAAGTTTGAAACTCAGGCTATTGCATGAGGAAGTCAGCACCTATAATTTGTTCATCTCGAATTTGTACATTGGTGACCTAAGGTCACGTCAATTTTGCGAACACTCCTGTAGTGTCTTGACTATTGGTGCCAATCGGAATTTCTTTTCTTGGAATTCCAATTTTTGTCCAATTCCAATTTGGAATTTGGACGGAATTCTTAACATTTTTTTGGAAATTAATCGGAACACAAGGCCTTTAGAAATTTTAAATTTTAAAACGGAGGCCTTTAAAACGCTTTTAAACACTTTTAAAATTTACGCAAAAATGCAAAAATCGTTAAAAATTGGAATAGCCCCCGCTTTGGACAAAATTGGAAATTTACTTGGCAATTTCTTGGAATTGGATCGGAATTGGAATTGAAATTTCATGAAATTGGCACCACTAGTCTTGACACAATCAAGTCTTGACAATTACATGGTATATTAATAACAAGATAAATAGCAACAGTATCAATGCTTCTTCAGATAAATGGCAACAGTATCAATGCTTCTTCAGCCACACTCCAGACCAGTCTGTTGACCTCAGGTCACCGGTCACCAGAGGTCAACTCTTGGCGCCAAAACCGTACTACAATTGTCACGTGTGCGCCACCAATGTGCCATTGCTGCCACATAGGGAAATACCTTTATTTGGCAGCACCATGAACTCAACATGCAAACACTACATTCCCCTTCCCTTAGAAATAAAGCAAGAAACTAGTAATGAATGCCAACAGAAAACGCCATTACAAGCAAGAAACTAGTAATGGATGCCAACAGAAAACACCATTACAATGTGCCCATCACCTTATGCATCAATCACAGTATCACGCATCAACCACACTCCTCAATGAGCCTCTTGGGGGGACCATCAAAGCGTCCAAAACCGCAGCATCCAAAGTACGCAACATCCAAAACCGCAGCGTCCAAAGTACGCAACGTCCAAAATACGCCCAAAATCGGGTATATAGGGAGCATTCACAACGTCCAAAACCGAAACATCCAAAACCGCAACATCCAAAACGGGTCCGTATCAAAGCGTCCAAAACCGCAGCACCCAAAGTACGCAACATCCAAAACCGCAGCGTCCAAAGTACGCAACGTCCAAAATACGTCCAAAATCGGGTTTATAGGGGGCATTCACAAAGTCCAAAACCGAAACATCCAAAACCGCAACGTCCAAAAACGTATCATCCAAAAAACGCAACATCCAAGGACGCAACATCCAAAGTACGTAACCTCCAAAACCACAACGTCCAAGACCACGACATCCAAGGCACGCAACATCCAAAACCAACCTAACCTAACCTAACCTAACCTAACCTAACCTACTGATTTTTGCCTATCCCTAACCCAACCAAACCTAACCTAACCTAACCTACTGATTTTTGCCTACTGGGGATAAGGAAACCCAACCTAACCTAACCTAACCTAACCTAACCTAACCTAACCTACTGATTTATGCCTACCGGGGATAAGGAAACCTAACCTAACCTAACCTAGCCTAACCTAACCTAACCTAACGGTTTTGGATGTTGCGTACTTTGGATGTTGCGTACTTTGGATGATGCGTCCTTGGATGTTGCGTTTTTGGATGATACGTTTTGGATGTTGCGGTTTTGGATGTTTCGGTTTTGGACGTTGTGAATGCTCCCTATATACCCGATTTTGGACGTATTTTGGACGTTGCGTACTTTGGACGCTGCGGTTTTGGATGTTGCGTACTTTGGATGCTGCGGTTTTGGACGCTTTGATGGTCCCCCATCCAAAACATATCATCCAAAAACGCAACATCCAAGGACGCATCATCCAAAGTACGCAACATCCAAAGTACGCAACATCCAAAACCGTTAGGTTAGGTTAGGCTAGGTTAGGTTAGGTTAGGTTAGGTTTCCTTATGCCCGGTAGGCATAAATCAGTAGGTTAGGTTAGGTTAGGTTACGTTAGGTTAGGTTAGGTTAGGTTGAGTTTCCTTATCCCCGGTAGGCAAAAATCAGTAGGTTAGGTTAGGTTAGGTTGGGTTAGGGATAGGCAAAAATCAGTAGGTTAGGTTAGGTTAGGTTAGGTTAGGTTAGGTTAGGTTAGGTTAGGCTAGGTTAGGTTAGGTTAGATTGGTTTTGGATGTTGCGTGCCTTGGATGTCGTGGTCTTGGACGTTGTGGTTTTGGAGGTTACGTACTTTGGATGTTGCGTTTTTTGGATGATACGTTTTTGGACGGTGCGGTTTTGGATGTTTCGGTTTTGGACTTTGTGAATGCCCCCTATAAACCCGATTTTGGACGTATTTTGGACGTTGCGTACTTTGGACGGGGGGACCATCAAAGCGTCCAAAACCGCAGCATCCAAAGTACGCAACATGCAAAACCGCAGCGTCCAAAGTACGCAACGTCCAAAATACGTCCAAAATCGGGTATATAGGGAGGGTCCGTATCAAAGCGTCCAAAACCGCAGCATCCAAGGTACGCAACATCCAAAACCGCAGCGTCCAAAGTACGCAACGTCCAAAATACGTCCAAAATCGGGTTTATAGGGGGCATTCACAAAGTCCAAAACCGAAACATCCAAAACCGCACCGTCCAAAAACGTATCATCCAAAAAACGCAACATCCAAAGACGCAACATCCAAAGTACGTAACCTCCAAAACCACAACGTCTAAGACCACGACATCCAAGGCACGCAACATCCAAAACCAACCTAACCTAACCTAACCTAACCTAACCTAACCTAACCTACTGATTTTTTCCTATCCCTAACCCAACCTAACCTAACCTAACCTAACCTAACCTAACCTAACCTAACCTAACCTAACCTAACCTAACCTACTGATTTTTGCCTACCGGGGATAAGGAAACCTAACCTAACCTAACCTAACCTAACCTACTGATTTTTGCCTACCGGGGATAAGGAAACCTAACCTAACCTAACCTAACGTAACCTTACCTAACGTAACGTAACGTAACGTAACGGAACCTAACCTAACCTAACCTAACCTAACCTACTGATTTATGCCTACCGGGCATAAGGAAACCTAACCTAACCTAACCTAGCCTAACCTAACCTAACCTAACGGTTTTGGATGTTGCGTACTTTGGATGTTGCGTACTTTGGATGTTGCGTTCTTTGGATGATGCGTCCTTGGATGTTGCGTTTTTGGATGATACGTTTTGGATGGGTCCGTATCAAAGCGTCCAAAACCGCAGCACCCAAAGTACGCAACATCCAAAACCGCAGCGTCCAAAGTACGCAACGTCCAAAATACGTCCAAAATCGGGTTTATAGGGGGCATTCACAAAGTCCAAAACCGAAACATCCAAAACCGCAACGTCCAAAAACGTATCATCCAAAAAACGCTACATCCAAAGACGCAACATCCAAAGTACGTAACCTCCAAAACCACAACGTCCAAGACTACGACATCCAAGGCACGCAGCATCTAAAACCAACATAACCTAACCTAACCTAACCTAACCGAACCTAACCTACTGATTTTTGCCTATCCCTAACCCAACCTAACCTAACCTAACCTACTGATTTTTGCCTACCGGGGATAAGGAAACCCAACCTAACCTAACCTAACCTAACCTAACCTAACTTAACCTAACCGAACCTAACCTAACCTACTGATTTTTGCTTATCCCTAACCCAACCTAACCTAACCTAACCTAACCTACTGATTTTTGCCTACCGGGGATAAGGAAACCTAACCTAACCTAACCTAACCTAACCTAACCTAACCTAACCTACTGATAAATGCCTACCGGGGATAAGGAAACCTAACCTAACCTAACCTAGCCTAACCTAACCTAACGGTTTTGGATGTTGCGTACTTTGGATGTTGCGTACTTTGGATGTTGCGTACTTTGGATGATGCGTCCTTGGATGTTGCGTTTTTGGATGATACGTTTTGGATGTTGCGGTTTTGGATGTTGCGGTTTTGGACGTTGTGAATGCTCCCTATATACCCGATTTTGGACGTATTTTGGACGTTGCGTACTTTGGACGCTGCGGTTTTGGATGTTGCGTACCTTGGATGCTGCGGTTTTGGACGCTTTGATGGTCCCCCGTTTTGGATGTTGCGGTTTTGGATGTTTCGGTTTTGGACGTTGTGAATGCTCCCTATATACCCGATTTTTGACGTATTTTGGACGTTGCGTACTTTGGACGCTGCAGTTTTGGATGTTGCGTACCTTGGATGCTGCGGTTTTGGACGCTTTGATGGTCCCCCATATAGGGAGCATTCACAACGTCCAAAACCGAAACATCCAAAACCGCAACATCCAAAACGTATCATCCAAAAACGCAACATCCAAGGACGCATCATCCAAAGTACGCAACATCCAAAGTACGCAACATCCAAAGTACGCAACATCCAAAACCGTTAGGTTAGGTTAGGTTAGGTTAGGCTAGGTTAGGTTAGGTTAGGTTTCCTTATTCCCGGTAGGCATAAATCAGTAGGTTAGGTTAGGTTAGGTTAGGTTAGGTTAGGTTGGGTTTCCTTATCCCCGGTAGGCAAAAATCAGTAGGTTAGGCTAGGTTAGGTTAGGTTGGGTTTCCTTATCCCCGGTAGGCAAAAATCAGTAGGTTAGGTTAGGTTCGGTTAGTTTAGGTTAGGTTAGGTTAGGGGGTCCGTATCAAAGCGTCCAAAACCGCAGCACCCAAAGTACGCAACATCCAAAAC